CACTAAACACATTTATTTTAAAACCAGTTGTTGGGATGACACGGGTTATGTTCTTCTCATATATGTTATGATGGTATGATACTAAACCCCTAACGGGAAGGATTGTGCCTGATATTCATATGATGAAGACATAATCTTTCAATCAGTTTAATTGAAGTCTGGAGCTGGCATGTCAGTTAACTGCTAGTAGTCTGTTGTTATTTATGTATTATTGTCTTTTTGTTTATTTTCTTTGGTTACATCTTCTGACATCAGACTCGGACTTCTCTTGAACTGAATTTTAATGTGCGTATTGTTATGCGTTTACTTTTCTACATTGGCTAGAGGTATAGGGGGAGGGTTGAGATCTCATAAACATGTTTAACCCCGCCGCATTTGTGCGCCTGTCCCAAGTCAGGAGCCTCTAGCCTTTGTTAGTCTTGTATTATTTTTAATTTTAGTTTCTTGTGTACAATTTGGAGTTTAGTATGGCGTTCATTATCACTGAACTAGTATATATATTTGTTTAGGGGCCAGCTGAAGGACGCCTCCGGGTGCGGGAATTTCTCGCTGCATTGAAGACCTGTTTGTGACCTTCTGCTGTTGTCTGTTTTATGGTCGGGTTGTTGTCTCTTTGACACATTCCCCATTTCCATTCTCAATTTTAATAATTTTGAATTTTATAAATATGGTGCCTTCGATAAATAAATGTCGTCATAGAACAGTCTCATTTTAATACCGGTATTCGAGATGACTCGTTTCATTGCTATTACAACAAATATGTCATAATAAAATGACTGTCACAGAGAGTTTTGATTCGGAATATTCTAGATAAATATACAAAAAGCAAATTTTAGACAGTTTTCCCTCCTAAGCCTGGAAGTGGCTAGTCACATATAGTTAACGGCGTTTTTCTCACAATGACGGTCTACCTCTATAAGCATGGATTTTTCATATTGAAGGCCATACGGTTGCCTATAAATACATACATCCACTTCATTTGAACTTTTTTAGCTGTCTCATTGGCAACCGTACCATATCTCTTTAGTTTTATATATATCGACCTATATCCATAAAATAAAAAGATAACACTATATTTTTGTGGATACAAAGCACTTCTCATATATCCATAAATAGCTGTGTACCCGATCTGATTTAATGAATTTAGGTATGGGGCGTAACATAATTTGTTTAGACTCATTAATCATTCAGAAACAAAGTGAAAAAACTAATTAATTTTCATTTCAAAATAAGGTACAAAAACAAATACGGGACTGAGATTAAAACAAAATTGTTTCTGTATGTTCATGAGCAAAAACACATGCCCCGTCCCCCAAAAACATAAACACACGAAAACACATACAGTACTAAGAAAAGATGAATGATACGTGCAAAATCATAAAATTCAGGAATACGTTTATGTTGCAAAACTTGGGTTTTTCTAAAGAAAAGTAGTAAGCAGAAAAATTTAGGTTCCTATAGAGTAAGCTTTTATGTATTAGACTTAGAACGATTGCCAAGTCAGTCAGCTGAACATCGAACCAACTTATCTGAATTCTTTTAAAATTCTAGTGTTCCAGTAAAGACCTGCGACTCTTTTGACACAAAATCTTACGATTAAAATTGATCGTAAGTTAAACAGAAATGTGTATGACTTACGAGTATTTTTACTCTTAAGATTTTTTGTGAAAAGAGCCGCTGTTCTTATATTGATAAATTACTACAGCAAATAATTATATTTATATATTGAATTGAATGTTACCTGTATCATTTAGAACATACAAATTGTATAAATCTAGGTCCAAATAGCTTTTTACTGTCCAATATTTGCAAGTACAAAAAAAAGTTCGAAAGTATATTTTTTCTAATCTTTTATTGCACCACTTTTTAAAGTTTATCATGCATTTGTTCTAGAAATAAAATCATATACAGGATGAGATTTACACTAAGTATAGTATGAACCAATAAAAACTGGCCGTCGTTATCCAGCGTAGCAGACCTGAGCGTAGAGTGTTAAAAGTGGCGTTAAACACAAACAATAAATCGATCAATTTAATTTTCAAAAGAGACTTGAAACCAAGGTCAGCATTCAGAATTTGAATGGTCGTCCTCTTTTTTTACAAGTGATGTATATAAATTTATTTTTCCAATATTTCAAATTAACTTTCTTAACTCGCAACTTGAAACTCGACTTTTGCTCGACTTTTATAACTCGCAGGTCGACTTTTTAACTTGCTACTCGACTATTATTACTCGCAGCTTGACTTTGTTAACTCGCATCTCAACTTTTTAACTCGCAACAAGACTTTTGTAACTCGTAACTTGACTTTTGTAGCTCACAACTGTAATTTCGTAACTCGCAACTCGACAATTAGAAACCCTCATACAGTATATAAGTTAAAAGATACTAAAAGCAAACACAAATTTTAGAATACCACGAATTTGAAATCTCTTTGAAGTCCAAAAAAGGCAATTGCTTTATGTTACGCAGGCATCACTACTTTTAAAGCTGCTAAAATTTAATGTTATGTTTGTAGTACACGAATTATCATTGACAGATATATAAAAAATAGAAGATGTGGTATGATTGCAAATGAGACAACTCTCATCCAGAGACCAAATGACATAGAAGTTAACAACTATAGGTCACTGTACGGTCTTCAACAATGAGCAAAACCTATTCCGCATAGTCGGTTATAAAAGGCCCCGAAATGACAAAAGTAAAACAATTCAAACGAGAAAACTAACGGTCTGATTTATTTACAAAACAATGAACGAAATACAAATATGATATACAGCAATTAATGACTCCCGCTGAAATACAGGCTCTTGACTTGGGACAGGCACATACAAAATGTGGTGGGGTTAAAAATATTTTCGGGCGCCCAACCCTCCCCTAACCTGGGACAGTGGTGTAACAGTACAACATATGAAGAAAAAACTATAAAAATCAGTTGAAAAGGACTAAACTCATCAAATCGATACAACGCAAAAAAACAAGTAACAAAAACACACACCGGACGTGGCAGAATATTTATACATCCCCACAACAAAAAAGACACTAAGTACAGATATGAGAGTACTTGCAGTTACTGACAGCTAGTTCAAAACCAGTAACAACTAATAAAAAAAATAATGTATCTAAGACAATCAGTACCAATCTAACATCCAATGGATTTAGTAAAGACGTCATTAACAGTCAGAGAAAAATACGACTTTGAGCAATGCCAAAATACAGGTATCGACAGATTGCAGAACCGATTATTTTTATTTATATAACAATTATATTAGTTTTAATTTACTGATAATAAGGTCAATACTTGTTAGCCAATAAAACAATATTTAAAGATCTAATTACAGTGTTGAATTGGTAACCTTGTAGAATAAGTTTATTTAAAGGATCGATTAGTTTACCCGGATCGTATCTAAATTCCGGATTCGGCAAACAACAAGTACAGCCAAACTTCCAAACCAATTCTTTGTATCTATGGAAGAATTTGGTAAAGGTTTTAAGTAATTTGTGGTATCGAAAGCCCTGACCTAATAATTTACCAGTAATACATATATTACGTTCATTGAAATCCAAAACATCACTACAGACACGGGCATAGCGAGCGAGTTGTGATATATAAACTCTGTAAGATGGTGCCAAAGAAATATCACCTTCCAAAAATTGAAAATTAACAATAGGGAAAGAAAAATCGTTCCCTTTGTCGTAATTTTTTTTGTAGAGTTACCCGTGTAAAACTGCAATATCTAAATATAGGAAAGGACAGTTATTACCGTTTATATCTGATTTATTTAAAATAAGTTCCTTTAGGTAAATTTCGTCGGTATATTTAGAAAATTCCTGATTATTTAACGAAAAAATACCATCAAGATAACTATAAGTGTTGTTGAATATATCTAATGAATGATACATGGTTACAGGTATAATTATAAATAAACTGTTTACATATCTTTAAATTTTTCGAAATACTAGTACTAAGGATTTTTTTATAACCACTTTGCCACTGCTGGTTGAGGTTTCCTCTCCGAACGTATCACAAGCACTTCTGTGTTGATATAAATTATCATTGATATGGTCATAATTAACTCTTTACAAAACTTTAAAATTGAGAATGGAAATGGGGAATGTGTCAAAGAGACAACAACCCGACCAGAGAGTAGCCCAAGGCCACCAATGGGTCTTCAACACAGCGAGAAAATCCCGTACCTGGAGGCGGGCTTCAGCTTGCCCCTAAACAAAAATGTGTACTAGTTCAGTGAAAATGACCGTCAAAGGAAATTCCGAAACGTATAAATGAACTAAAATTTAAAACAAAAACATACAAGACTAACAAAGGCCAGAGGCTTTTGACTTGGGACAGGCGCAAAAATGCGGCGGGGTTAAATATGTTTTGTGAAATCTCAACCCTTCCCCTATACCTCTAGCCAATGTAGAATAAACAAACACACGGTAATTCGCACAGTAAAACTCAGCTCAAAAGAATTTTTCGAAATACATGTACTTAGTTTTCTACCCCAAGAATAAATTACCTTGACCGACAATTGATTCGAGCGGCGTACAAAATGTTTTTATTACATTTATTTATAACAACTTTACATAGCATACTTAACAACTTAAATAACGCACCACATCTTACCATTTGTAATTCATGATTTCTTGTTTTTGCTTCAAATTTAAGTATATTTTAAGCATAACCTTGAAATTGATGCAAAGTTAATCGACGACAATGGAGATTTCAACAACAAAAGTTAAAAATCAAAAGTCTGAGATATGTCACTTTCAAGTTGGTCATTAAAAAAATTATCCGCGAAGTTTTGAGATATCAAAAATTAAAATTTAAAAATATTAAAAGTATTTATGACTTCAGAAACGGTATGTAAAGATTTGATCATTTCAATCACTTTTGAAATTTTTATATGCAATAGAAATTTTTACTCCAAAGAAATTAATGGAAGTTGTGCGTTTTTGTTGTTAACTGTTTATATGAAGCCATGCATCCAATCGTGTAAAACTTGTGTCAGTATAAAAGTGAGTGATAAATAACCTGTCGTTAACATTTAGGCCGTCTAAACAGATATAGGATGGGTAGAATTTTAATGCTTACATTAGTTACATATGTTGCAGTATGTGTTTCTTGTTTGGAGTATCAAGTTGTTGATTTGACTCATAACCACGGAAAGGATTCAATATACTGGCCAACTCATTCCGGCTATGAACGATATATAGATCAAAGGGGGATTTTCGAAGGAACTAATATTTGGTATGTACATCGTAGTTTCTGATTTTGCGGTTAAAATGGTTCCTTTAATCAATTGAAAAAGTTTGTAACGATACATATTCTAAAAGCAACTACATTGACCGACCTAACAACGCGATTTTGCTAATATGTAATGAAGTCAATGTTGTTTCACACACAACCACACAATTATCCGCACTCATACACATACATATGACATTCAAAACAATATTGTTTGTTTACTTTTTCCCTTAATAGGCCAAGCTACTCTTGTATTGCTAGCCCTATCTTTACATATGTGAACAAAAAAAGAATTAAATTAATGAACTTTTGGAAAAATGAATTATTAGGTAATTTTCATTTTATACTCGAAACACTTTTAGTTTTAATTATTGAAAATTATAAGTGTATATTAAATTTAAATATTACTTTAATGCAAAGAGAATTCATTTTGATGGAATATAATTATGTATGACTAAAGACAGGTCTTATACAATCCTGATTTGGACTATACTAGAACAGCTTCGATTTGCAGTCTTGTGTATTTTATGGTATCCTTAAATTTGTCATAATTTCATGACATATCTAAGGACATGTGTTCGGCTAATTTCGAAAACTTGGCCACAGGTTATTGTTTTATTCAGTTGTTAGTTTATATGTATTTCATATAAGTCGCAGAACTGATTTTTTAGAGCAAGTAATTCTAACTAGTAACTTAATTTCATTTTAAATGTATACAGTAATCGGCGTTAATCCATTTTACAACACCAATAATTATGTCTAACAATACAAATCCCCAAATTATTCAGTATACTTCTATTTAAAAATAGATTTTGTTGTTGCAACTTCTGAATACAAGGGTAGGACGTTATCTTTTCTTATTTAGTTATTTCTATCCATTTCAATTGTAACAAATAAAAACATTATTTAAATCGATATATATCAAACTATTTTCCTGGATATTTTTTCATATGATCAACGTGCTACTGGTACGATATTATGTACAGACGAGAACTTCGAGTATGTAATACAAATTATATATATAGAACTTTCTCCCAAAGCAAAAAGTTGGACTTGAATTCTAATGATAAAAGTATTTGAAGTGATAAAATCCGTAAACGTATTTATGAAGGTAAAATTATTCATTCATTGCAGTTCATCACTCATCTGCTGTCAAGATTGTTATGCAAATTTGGTATGTGCTCTCTCCCAAAAGAAAACGTTTGACCCAAATGAATGTTTAATATCTATAAGTATTTGAAGTGATAACATCAGATAACTTATTCAAGAAAGTAATTTTCTTTCGAGGTCTCTTCATTCATTCATTGTAATATCGCTCTTGTCTGCTTTCATAACAAGATTGACTCGAGAGCATAGCTTTGTTTGTTCTATTTTATAGTTATAGTAAAGTGCTGTTTAGCACGGACTATGCGATTATAGTCAAGGTTGAAAACATGTTGCAACATCCGAAGGGTTATTGACATAAAGTCAAACTTATAGCTTTTGGAAAGAGTACACATTGTATTTGTACTACAAATTTGAAGTTGTCGTTTGTACGTAAGAGCCATCATTTGACATTTTAGGGAGATGGGGGAGGGCAGGAGGATTTTCAAAATATTCGGGTCTGGTGAGAACTGAAATAATACCCTTCCCAACAATAAATTGGACACGTAATTGTTCCTTCCACTTCTACGGACAACAGCGCTCAGCATTTCTTATCTATAATACCAAATAAGGAGACCTGTTTTGTGGGTCTCTTCTCCGTCTTCCAGATCAAAAAAATCAATATGGCTCCAAACCTAAAAGAGTAGCGAAAGATACCAGAGGTACATTCAAACACATAAGTCGATAATAAACTGACAACGCCATGGCTAAAAAAGAAAAAGACAAACAGACAAACAGACAAACAATAGTACACAAAACACAACATAGAAAACTAAAGACTGCGCAACACGAACCCCACCAAAAACTGGGGGTGATCTCAGGTGCTCCGGAAGGGTAAGCAGATCCCGCTCCACATTTGGCACCCGTCGTGTTGCTAAAGTTAGTTTGCAAACTGTAGTTTGATAATCTTCCTAAACACTATTCACTTTGGATTAGTTGGGGAATAGCAGTCATAATTAGTTTTTCTCATTATTTGGCTTCCGTAGTCGTCGTATGCCGTCCATTAACTTTTACAAAAATCTTCTCCCCTGATACTACTGGACCAATTGGAACCAAGCATGGCCTTGGTGTATCTAGTTAATTAAAATATTGGGTTTGACGACCCCGCCTGCCAACCAACATGGCCAACATGGCTACAAATTACACATAGGGAATAAACTACCTATTTTTTCTATTATCTTGAAAACCGCTATAGATAGAAATCTGACATGTGCAGAAATGTTCACAATGTTGATATCTACATACAGTAACTGTTTATTTACGCCAAAACTTTCAAACGATTTCGTAAAGGAGTTAATGCCCTTAATGCCGAATTGTACCATTTTTTATCTCTATTTTTGCCTATTATTTTGAAAACTGTAATAGATAGAGAGATATTTTAAAAAGTCAAAATAATTCGCAAGATAAGATTTACTATAAAATTGAGAATGGAAATGGGGAATGTGTCAAAGAGATAACAACCCGACCATAGAGCAGACAATAGCCGAAGGCCACCAATGGGTCTTCAATGCAGAGAGAAACTCCCGCACCCGGAGGCGTCCTTCAGCTGGCCCCTAAACAAATATGTATACTAGTTCTGTGATAATGGACGTCATACTAAACTCCAAATTATACACAAGAAACTAAAATTAAAAATGATACAAGACTAACAAAGGCCAGAGGCTCCTGACTTGGGACAGGCGCAAAACATGCGGCGGGGTTAAACATGTTTTTTGAGATCTCAACCCTCCCCCTATACCTCTAGCCAATGTAGAAAAAACAAACGTACAACAGTACGCATAGTAAAACTCAGTTCAAGAGAAGTCCGAGTCCGATGTCAGAATAGGAAACAAAAGAAAATAAACAAAATGACAATAATACATAAATAACAACAGACTACTAGCAGTTACTGACATGCCAGCTCCAGACCCCAATTAAACTGATTGAAGATTATGTCTTCATTATATGAATATCAGGCACAATCCCTCCTGTTAGGGGTTTAGTATTATACCATCATAAAATATATGAGAAGAACATAACCCGTGTCATGCCAACAACTGGTTTTAGAATAAATATGTTTAATTCCAATGCAAAGACCCTATAAGTGAATCAATATTAAAGCCAAAATATGCAATCTTTAATGACCTGACAACAGTATCGTAACTATATCCCTTCTTAATAAGTCTGTTTAAAGGTTTTGTTAGCTTTTGAGGTGAATACTGACATTTTTGTGCTTTGTAAAGAATATTACCATAAAAGATCGGATGTGAAATACCCGAACGTATAAGATGTCTGCATGTTGAGTTATATTTACGAATGATGTCCTTATACCGATGATAAAATTTAGTAAATGTTTTGACTAGTTTATGATATCGAAAACCCTGGTGTAATAATTTTTCAGTAATACATAAATTTCTCTCGCTATAATCTAATACGTTGTTACATACACGAGCGAATCGTACAAGTTGAGATATATAAACACCATAAGATGGTGACAAGGGAACGTCACCATCTAAAAATGGATAATTAACGATAGGAAATGAAAAACATCTCTTTTATCATAAATTTTTGTATTAAGCTTCCCGTTAATGGTATAGATATCAAGATCGAGGAAAGGACAGTGGTCATTGTTAGTATTAGCTTTATTTAAAGTAAGTTCAACAGGATAAATTTCTTTAGTATACATACTGAAGTCGTCATTATTGAGAGCCAATATATCATCCAAATATCTAAAAGTATTGTTAAATTTTTGTATCAGATGTTGTTTCAATGGGTCTTTGCTGATTTTAGTCATAAACTGTAACCCATAACAATACAAAAACAGGTCCGCAATAAGTGGTGCACAGTTAGTCCCCATTGGAATTCCGATAACTTGACGATATACGGAATCTCAAAAGCGAACAAAAATGTTATCAAGTAAAAATTCAAGGGCAGATATAGTATCAAAGCATGTCCAATTGACATAGCTCTTTTGTTTGTTGCTACTAAAAAATGACCTAAAAGAGTTTGAACATATGTATTCGCATTCCGACTTTTTAAATGCCCATTTAATTAGGTGTGTGAATTTTTTCTTAATAAGAATATGAGACAAAGTGGTATATAGGGTAGAAAAATCAAAACTTTGAACAGATTCAAAATCACCAATACGTGCATGCAATTTATCAAGTTTTTGACACTCCAAAAGTAGTTAATTCCACTATTTTCAAAGGCCTTATTTGAACAATTTATTATCAGGTTTTTGATTGTACCAAGTGTACTAGTAAGTAGAATAGACAATTTAGTAGTGGAACAATGACTTGAAGACGAAATGAATCTATATTTGTAAGGTGATTTGTGTAGCTTCGGAAGCCAGTCCATAGTTGGGACTTTCATTGTATTTGGTTCTGCTTGTAAAGAAGTAGCTAATAGTTTATGTTTGTTACAGATATCGTTTTCAGAAAATGAAGTCAGTTGGAATGTTGGTGAATTCGTGATTTCCTTTTGCAGAACCTCAATGTAAAATTTACGTCAAACTATAATGATATCATTAGCAGCTTTATCAGCCGGGACAAAAATAAATTTCTTGGCCAGTTCTTTTAGTTTATGTTTGATACGAGAAATAGGATTTTTATGGTTGTTGTTAAGAGTAAAATGTTCTTTAAAATGTTGTATACGTATATCAACTATCTTCATTACTGAATTAAAAAAAGAGTCCAAAGATTTTTTGTCAGCTTTTTCCCGTTTTATCCATTTCAAACAGTAAGCACGAAGTGTCGTGGGTGATATTACGACACTCATTTCAATTAATAATTGACGGGGGACGATATTTAGGTCCTTTACTGAGGAATGATTTTAACTCTTGGTCGCGAACGATGTTAAGGTCTCCTGTTATAATGGAAATGGGGCCATAAGTGTATTCGGAATTACTACAATTACATGACGGAGGTGTATTTTCACTGATATTTACATCTTTACAGACTTGGCTATAATTAAACACAAATTTTCGGGTAGATTTCTTGTATATATAACAAATAAGAGGGAGTTCAGTATTATCAAAATATCCAGGATTTTTGTTCTTTAACAGAATGGTCGTTAAAAATACCGGCAATATCTACAAAATCAAAACCTTTATTGACATACTTTATTTTAATAAAATAGACAAATAAAATAGATCAATTTTGGGAAACAGTTTAGAATAACAATATGCCATTATAGTTTGAACGATTTCATACTTAGGACTGCAATATGAAATCAACATGCCATAATTCATCAGACGATTGCTATTTGAAGTTATTGTTTTATATCTTAAAAACTATATAATAGATAGATAAACACTTTCTGAATACAAAATGATCAGCAAGACAAGATCTACAAATGAATATAATGACCAAAATCGTCAGTCGACACTATCTTAGGGTTAGTGCTATATAATGAGGATTTTTACCATTTTTTGGGGTTTTTTTTTTTGCCTATATCTTGAAAACTAAATCTTAAAGATAGACCAAAATGATCAGCAAGTCAAGATCTACAAAAGCAAACTTTGCTGGAAATCCTTAATAGACTCTTTATAGGAATGGTTGCTCTTAAATGACGATATTTTTACCATTTTTGTATTTTGGGAAAATACTAAAGAAGAAAGAGGTAAAATAACAAAAAAACCGAACTCCAAGGAAAATTCAAAACGGAAAGTTCTTAACAAATAGCAAAATCAAAAGCTCAAACACATCAGACAAATGGAAAACAACTGTCATATGCCTGACTTGGTACAGTTTTTTATGTAGAAAATGGTGGATTGAACCTGGTTTTATAGCTACAATGTAGTCGCATAAAATTCCATTATATTGACAACAATGTGTGAGTAAAACAAACAGACATAATAGGTAAAAATGTCAAAAATTGGGGTACAACACTCAACATAGTGTTACATGTATAATCCTAATCACTATGTCATCAAAGAAAAACAAAATGGCATATGAACAATCTATAGACAAAGCACATGCAATCATGAAAGACAAGAATACAAAAAATGACGATAGTACAATAACACAATGGCGGGATGTATAATTACCGAGCCACGCCAAAAGGATATTACGAATAATGGTAAACAGTACAAGGTTAACAATATACAAAAAACAAATAAAAAAAACACTATAACACGTAATTAAGATGATAAACAACGTCAGTACCTAGAATCTTCACTGCAAGACCATCATGTATTATTTGTGAAGTTGATACGGAATATGTATCAACAAGGTTTTGGTATCTTCCGATGAACTTGTTTAGAACAAAGACGAGACTTTCTTTGACATAACCATGGTTCACCAACTTTCTGCTCAGACACTGGTGACGTTTTACAAAGTATGAGTAGCAGCTGCATACTCTTGAATACCGAATGAGTTGGGAAATGTATATCCCATATTCAGATGAAGTTGGTATATTGCTGCTAAGGAGGAGAAATTTATAATTTTAAAATTAAAATCGTCTCGTTTGTCAAACATTCTGGTATTAAGATGACCGCTTATGTTTTGACAATTGTCTGAAGGAACTCCAACTTATATGAAAATGAGAAGAGGTCGGCAAGGAGAGACGCACAGTTTTTTCCCCATAGGAATGCCGACAATTTGTTGAATGATAAAGAGAAACCGTAAACAGAAAAAAGTAAATGCAAGATAAAAAAAAATTAGATATTTTGTCTTGAATTCTATATTTGTTTACAATGTTGGAGAGCGTCCAATGGTGAAGATGCACATATACTTAAGTAAGCGACACAGGCTCTGTAGGAAACCAATGACGGGTTCAACTTCAGACAGAAAGCTATTACTAGCAGAAAAAAAACTGTCACCTAGTGCTTGACTTACAATTACTAAACAAACATCTTTAAAATATATACGCATTAATTCAATTTACCTTGCGATGTTTTTCAAGTTTTACATGGTCAACTGATAGTGCCAATGTTGTAATAAAAGTTGAAAGAAGCATTGAACTACTTTCGTTAAATTCAATGGCTTTATTCCGATTGTCCTGCACTTTATTAATTTTATTTAAGTGTTAGATAAATTTGATTATCAATTATATAACTTTGTTGAGCGTTGTTATGTGAAACTTTTTTTTCAAATACTTTTTTTTATTTTAAAAGGTTAAGGTGCAATGTGTTTTGATATGTTGTGTGCTTTTAGCTATAGCTTTACTGACTTTATGGAATGGTTGTCCAATTATTTTTCTCCTTTATGCTTTTTGTCATTAAAGAAATGCAGATTTGCTATTTCCTAAATTTGACTGTCAAATTCTGATTTCAATCTCTTAGTTGTAGCTACATGGGTCATGACCGGCATTTAAAAAATATTTATATTACTGTTTTCAGTATGGATAGGGTCCATTTTATTCACTTCCTGGTTAATATGAAAGTTTGACCATTTACTCAGGATAACACAAAATCACATGAATTTTGAAAGTTTGACGAATATCCTTTTAAAACACTACGGATTTAAGTGCCTTTTCAAATTATAAGCCTGATGTTTTGATGAGTTTTTACAGCCATTCTGAAAATTCCACTATTGTTAGGGTATCGTCCCCGAAGGTATGACCAGACCTGAAGTCAATACTTTTGAGTCATTTTCTGTAAATTTACTGTTAACTAAATGTTTAATTATTTAAAACTCTAAGCTTTTTCTACCCCAGGCATAGATTATCTTAGCCGTATTTGGCACAAGTTTTCGAAATTTTGGTATTAAATGCTCTTCAATTTTGAATATAAGTTTGCCTTCCGATTGTTTTATTCGAGTACTAAGTCTGGTGTACCAAATTATAACCCTGTTATCTCTGATGAGTTTTTACAATATTACATTAAAACGATGATAGATTTATTATGGGGCTGGGCTGGTATTCTGTCAACTGCGTGCTCCTATTCCATATTTCCACGGAAAAAGGAGATGGACATGCATTCGGACATATTATTTTCTATTCCCCGAGGGAAACCGAAGTATTGACTTAATGAACAATTGTTAACCTTCTTTTCGGAACTATTCTCTAGATAATCCAACCAAAATGATAAAAAATGAGGATATCAAAGATAAACTGTACATACAAACTTCAGGACACAGAACGATACTGATTAATTCAATAAGGCAGTTGGAGAGTGAAACACAAAAACATTTAATATTTAAGATATGAAGTCGCCTTTTCTTTTAATGTTTATATATAAATATAATTAATCAGTTTTGCCTGTATATTTGTAGGGTAGCATCTAATACTATAAAGACAACTGAACATTTAGGAACACATTTGGATGCCCCACAACATTTCAATGAATTTTCCTGGACAACACACCAAATACCTATTGAAAACCTGGTTGGTCCTGGGGTGATCGTTAATGTCAAATCCAAAGTAGTATCGAGTGCAGATTATACCGTAACGAAAGCTGATCTTGAGGAATGGGAGGATCAATATGGCAAAATTCCTGATGGAGCTATAGTCCTTATGAATTCTGGATGGCACGACAGGTATCCAGACAAAACAAGAGTATTCAACACACAAAATCCGAATGATACAACCTCATTTCATTTTCCATCCTGGGGAAAAGATGCAGTTTCATGGCTTCTTGCACATCGTTCAATTCATGTTCTTGGGGTAGATGTTCCGTCTTTAGATTATGGTCAATCAAAGGATTTTCCAGTACATATCTTGATTAGCCAAGAAAACATTCCAGGATTAGAAAATGTCGGTTATCTTGACAAAATTCCTGAAAGCGGGACCATTATATCTTGTGCTGTTATGAAAATTGTCGACGGAAGTGGAAGCCCTGCCAGAGTTTTTGCACTGATACCCAAAAATTCGGACACAAATGATGCTAGGAAATATAACTGTTCACTGTTTTTACTCCTATGTAGTTTAGTAAGCTTCAAAATGTTAAACGAATAATTTTTAAAAGGTGGTTTAGGTAAATAAAATATGCTAAGCGTACATTATGTAGGTTAAGCTTGTATATATATGAGAGTAAACAAGAACGATAAACAAGAATAATGTTATAGCAACATAAAACAAAACACGTCGTATTTGTATTTTTAATAAAATTAATTACAAAACAATTTACGAAAAGCAAATATGACAGACATGAACCAACGACAACACCTGAACAAATATTCTATATCCTTTATTCCGTAGGGAACAAATTCTTTAATAATTTTTTTCAGTGGAAATAATATTTCAGAATATTTCTTCCATGTTGTACTTATGTTATTGCATTTCCCAGTTTCTGCAAATTGCACAGAACAATCACAAAATAAATTTCAGCACTCAATTTGCTTTATAATCTGGATGCATTTATTTTATCTATTTTGTTTTCTGTATGCATTAAATTATTTTTAACCGCCTCGGTGGTCTCGTCGTAGTGTGTTCGACTCGAGTGCGGGAGGTCGTGGGTTCGATCCCCGGCCGGGTCAAACCAATGACTTCAAAATTGGTATTTGCTGCTTCTTTTTTGCTAAGCACGTGGCATTTAGGAGTAAGAGAAAAGACTGGTCGGCTCGGAGTCAGAATAATGTGTCCGGGTAAGGTGACATCTCTTCCTGCGGACTGTTACCTTGTGAACTAGCACGTTAAAAACCCGGCTCAGCGTGTCGGTGTAGTACAAAGCAGGGTTAATTAATATGCATATTACATTAACATGTTCTCGTCCTTAATATACATATTAATTTGCCGCTGGACGTTAAACAGTTCATCATCATCATCATCATCATCATCATCATCATCATCATCATCATCATCATCATCATCATCATCATCATCATCATCATCATCATCATCATCATCATCATCATCATCATCATCATCATCATCATCATCATCATCATCATCATCATCATCATCATCATCATCATCATCATCATCATCATCATCATCATCATCATCATCATCATCATCATCATCATCATCATCATCATCATCATCATCATCATCATCATCATCATCATCATCATCATCATCATCATCATCATCATCATCATCATCATCATCATCATCATCATCATCATCATCATCATCATCATCATCATCATCATCATCATCATCATCATCATCATCATCATCATCATCATCATCATCATCATCATCATCATCATCATCATCATCATCATCATCATCATCATCATCATCATCATCATCATCATCATCATCATCATCATCATCATCATCATCATCATCATCATCATCATCATCATCATCATCATCATCATCATCATCATCATCATCATCATCATCATCATCATCATCATCATCATCATCATCATCATCATCATCATCATCATCATCATCATCATCATCATCATCATCATCATCATCATCATCATCATCATCATCATCATCATCATCATCATCATCATCATCATCATCATCATCATCATCATCATCATCTGTGCTGGACAATTAAATGTGGATTTTCGTATTACTTATCTAAATTCAGCACCAGTAAGAGACTTTGAATATGAATATAAAAAGATTTTGTTATAATTACCAATGAGAAACAGAAACCAAAATGACGTTAAAGTTAAGGTGGCTGGGGCGTCTTAATTAAAATTGACAGAATTTTTTGATAATTTGTCAAAATGAAATTTTTATCATGCTTTTTTCTAAAATATAATAAAACGTATGGGTCACCGAACTTTTTTTAACGCTAGAGGTTGTGCAAAATTGTCAGATTTTGTATAGATTATGCATGGAAAATCAAATTTTATGTGATAAAAAAAAAACTACTTGATAGACCTTTAAGATAAAATGTGAGAAGATAGCTCTTATTAGATGCTTTCAGATAAGAAAAAGAAAACAGGGGGTCACCGAACTTGTTTTCTTGCTACATATCAAAATAGGTAAATTCACAACACTTTCTATTATAAAAATTACTTTATCTGAGTTTTCTCCCCTTATTTGGCAAAGTTGAAAAAAATTTAATCAAATACAAATAAGGTGTTTTTGAGAGATTACAGTCGTATTTATGATAAAACACACAATTTTTTATATTTACATCAAAAGTCTTTTACATAAATTACATACTACTCTAAAAATTTGAACATTTCATGAAATATCTAGACCAACGTTATCTGCTACTTCGAAATCCAAGATGGAGGAAGACACCCGAGCCACCTTAACAACTATAGGTCACTGTACGACTTTCAACAATGAGCAAAATCTATACCGCATAGTCAGCTATAAAAGGCCCCGAATAATATGATATACATCAACAAAAGACAACCACTGAATTACAGGCTTTTGACATTAATCAGTCATTTTTATGTTTTATTTGTTTTCTGTGTAGGTTTCTGTAATACGTTGAATGAGTGCACTGCTGCATGTGAGATAAGAATGAGGTAGCCTGATAGTATAGGGACTTGATGTTCTTGAAATTGAAGTTGTTAACTGATGTAGAAGATGATAGATATATGTGCAATAAAATTTTATCAAGAAAATATCGTGGCTTCATATGCTTATAAAGTCTTGAATTCGAATCCCCGCATAGACACTGGAAATTAAGTGGATTTTTTCTACATAAATTTTGAAAGTTTACTTAGTCTTTATTCCGAATACATATTTCTAAGTTTTATTGTGTGTTCAACATTCCCACCAAAATGTTACAGAACAAAAGAAAGCATGTAGAACAAGTAAACGCAAGGTAGGGTGATCTGGGAGAGGCGATCCGACTCAGATCCCCCCTGTTAGAACAAAGGAGTTGGCATGTGACATGTTTTCACGTGTAGAGAAATTTCACTAATAACCAGTGCATGATTAATGACATCGTTCTTATTGGTCAATAATCTTGCGAGGTCAGCACGAGATCGTGTTGTGCGTTGTGGGCACTTCCTTTTATCATCAGAAACACTCTGTCATGCTATTATGACGTTTTTGTTGTAATAACAATGAAACGAGTCTTTTTGAAAATTGGTAGAATGAGACTATTTCTAATGACGACTTTTTATTATCGAAGGCACTAATTTATAAAATACAAAATTATTGTATTTTATTGGCGCTCAGTGATTTCCAATACACGCAGCGTATTTGAATACAATTTTCAAACGAAATAAATTTACTACAATACAAACAGTTCTTAGCTATAATTAGAAAATGTAATTTAAACTTGTTGAAATGAAGTTAGTATAAAATTTGTCAAAGAAGTCTTTTAGTTTTTTAATTTGTCTTTTAACTTAGTGTTATGATGCATAGCTCTACACCACAAATTATGCGAAGCGTAACAGTTTATAAGTAGTTGTTCTCATATATGCATTTAATTCGGTGCATTAATTTATTATGGATATATTTTAGCGGAGTAACAAATTAAGAAAAAGTCGCTTATTTTAAGAGTTTAATGAATCGACATACCTCACGGCTGAAAAACAACATGATGATAGAGTATACAGAAAAAGCTGACAAGAAATCCTTATATTCTTTTTTTAATTCAGTAATGAACATAGTTGATATACGTATACAACATTTTAAAGAACATTTTACTCCTAACAACAACATAATATCCCTATTTCTCGTATCAAACATAAGATAAAAGATCTCGCCAAGGAATTTGTTTTTGTCCCGGCTGATAAGTCTGCTAATAATATCATTATTGTTTGACGTAAATTTTTCATTGAAGTTCTGCAAAAGGAAATCACGAATTCACCAACATGCCAACTGACTCCATTTTCGGAAAATGACATCTGTAACAAACATAAACTTTTATCTACCTTTTAACAAGCAGAACCAAATACAATTAAAGTTCCAACTATGAACTGGCCTCCGAAGCTGCACAAAACTCCTTACAAATTTAGATTTATTTCGTCTTCAAGCCATTGTTCCACTACTTATCTATCTATTCCACTTACTAGTACACTTGGTATAATCAAAAACCTGGTAATAAATTGTTCAAATATGCTGTTACGTCCGGCCAGAATGTGGACGTTAAATCCGATGACTCGTGAAGAATTTTGTAACAACTCATTCAAGGGTACGAAGGTGTCCTGTTGCAAGGCTAAGTTTCCGTACCTATTTAATACACCCTCATTGGCATTCCTAATTTTCAGCACTTCATCCCGGTAAACCCCTAGTGATGGACCTACCTATTATATTAATTGTTAATTTGTTCTTGCCCTAACATGCATGAAATGTTTACCACGGGACGTAATGCAAACAACAATCAGTCGTGAACATTAATCACACAATGTCTAATTATTGAAATTCAGGACAAATAAATGTAAATTGTTTAATTGTTTTAAATGCTATTCAATATATATAGTATACTATTGTATCCCAAGCAGGTCCTCTTATCTATAATATACTAGTAGTTGCCCATATCTAAAAGGTACTGAGTTCTGGGTTTCTTGTGAACATTACTCCACAAAGTACAGCTATTGCTTCATTTGTCTTTTAATTGGGACACGCATTTTGGTCTTTTTGCTGCAATTACAAAAGGAATAGAGTTTTAAGTTTAAAAAAGTACTTCACGACAAACGATACAATAAACAGTTTGAAAGTAGCTCATAATTAATACATTAGTCGTCAAAAATACAGCCGTCATGCATTGAATAGTGTTATTTTCCTAATAAGCAAATATCTTATTGTGATTTTATTATGATTGGTCAATTTCACATTGATACACACAACTTGACATGTAGACCCATGTGAGTTAAAGAATGTTGTTTTGCTTTTATCCATGTATATGGAGATTAAAAACCGTCACCCCCCAAATATGGACTCCCACGGTGGGAAAGTTTTTTTTTGTTTTTTTTTTAAAACTTCTAGAAAAATGAAAAAAAAAAAATACCCTGAATCAAATAGAGCAAGGAAGGATGATGAGAATCTATGTCTTTTTTTTATGACCCGCCGCGTCGGAGGGGGCATTAAGTGTTACCTTTGTCTGTTGGTACGTACGTCCCAAAATAAGTTTCCGTTTTCTAACTTAAGTTTGCCTCTACGAAATGTTATGAATCTTATACACAATGCTCTTTACCACAAAACACAGATCAAGTTTGAATTTGAGTAGCGTCACTTTTACCGTTCTAAAGTTATGCCCTTTACAAATGGGAAAAATGCTGGTATTTTTCGTTTCCGTTCTCTAACTTACCGTTCTTGAGTTATATCTCTTTATAACATTATAAGCAAGCGGGAGTATCATCTGTGTCCCATGGACGCATTCTCTATTCATTTTGATATGAATATTACAATTAAAATTAGTAAATAATGCAGTAAGAAAAAGTTGGAATTACAAAATACGGTTTATCATATGGTTGACTGGACGTCATATGACGTCACGTAAGCGTATGCAGAAAAGATGTAGTTGACTAACGTGTTGTCAATAACGTACAGCTTGATATTGTAGTTTGTAATGAGATCGAGGAAAATGAGAAGTTTGAGAATTTAGATGAATTTGAACGCCTACATCCGGAAATTGGAGTGCAATGTGCAATACTAGGTAGGTTTTCAAAAGAGAATCTTGTCAATAATCTTAAACGAGTCCAGTATTACACATCATCCGGAAGTAAATATTTTTAATTCAATGTTCTTACAGCTGCACTGTGTAAATATAGCTAATTCCCATACCACGACTTTTTTTGAGAGATACTATATCATGTATATATAAGTCGATATTTTTTGCGTTTACAATACAATTGCCAGATTTCATCTCATAGAGATGCAACTTAATGATTTTATCAGTATATACCCAGTTGGAAAGCGGTCAAACTACAATCCCGTCCAATTTTCCCCGAATGTGACCTATCGAATTAGAGTT